AGAAGGCTATCAAATAAGTGACGCTTAAACTATGTTATCCACTGCGTAATCATTACTACCCATTAAAAATAAATAGAAATCTTAAATGCTCAAATAGTTTACACCACTTTGCCAAAGCTGGCCTTTATACTAATCTATAAAAGAGGTTGGGGCTTCCTATTCTAGGTGGTCATCATCATGTTGCTGCCATCCAAATAAAAACTACCTGGTCACAGTCTTGCGTTGTCTAGTATAGGCAACTTCGACCAAATTCAAAAAGTAAGCGGCGCTTGAATTTTTCCAACTTTCTAGCCAGCTAATTATATTTGGCTTAGAATGCTATCATGCTTCTAACTTTAAGGTTTGTTATACAGGCGCAAAGAGAAAAGGCAAATTTACTGAATCTAAACTTAAGCATTGCTTATCTAGTTCTTACTTGCGTTTGGGAGTAGATATATTGAGCTTTCCATGACGGAGCAGTCGATAAATGGAACTAAAGTGCTTGTCATACCATGAATTAACTTAACTACTACGTGTCTTTATCTGTCTGCCTAAGACAGCCAGTGTGCGTAAATTCCTACATATACTAAAGAGGAGCATTTAAATAGTAGTTGTATAAGTTTAAATAAACTATGCGTTTTTTAACGATAGTTATAACCGGGTGTTTGCGAATATAACAGCTAAAATTACTACGCTGATATCTGGAAATTTTAAGGCAACTAATGACACAAAATGTTCAATACTTAACGCACTGATTAAACTGGTTTAACAGAAGAAACAATAAACAGTCATTTGTTAAAAGTAAAATAAACCGAGACAAACATCTAGGGAGAACTGCGTAAATTACTCTGTCCATTTGTGAACTAACTGAGTAAGTTTTGAAAGTTTAAATTCAGAATGCATTACACAAATTTGTGCTTTGTAAAATTTGTGATGCTATTCTAATCACTTTATTCATTTCTATTTAGTTAATGTACAAGTTATTTTATAATACTTTTTGCATGGTAACCACAGCGCATTTATAAACACGGTTTGCCTTCCGAATACCCATGCATTTGGCTTACTTAGTATGCACTTCAACGCAGATTTTACTAGTGATATTTGATAAGCTTTTAAATTTAAGTAAAAATTTAAACTACCTTTTGATATATTAGCACATCACCAAAGCCAAATTTGATACTTTTTCAGTTTTTAATGTTTGTCTAACATATGTTTACCTTTTAAATAGAATGCCGTAATTTAGAACGTTAAGATTTTACGATAAATCACTTAATTAAGCAAACACAATAAATACTTGGATCAATAGCTATTACTACTAACAACAGCTTCATTATATATATATATATATATATATATATATATACTTATTTGCCAGATTAGGAAAAAAGCTAGTTGCTAACAAATACTCTAGGTGGCTTAGTCATTCACGTAACCTCAACTATTGAGCAGTAACAGCAAGTATTAAAACTGATGCGTGCTGCATCATACGTTAGAAGAAAAACGGATCTTTAAAGTAACAAGGTCACCAGACAAAACATTCCTCTTATTTCTCAAATGCATTTAATACAATTTCAATAACGCACTGCGGCAATAACTTAGCCAGGCAACTTGCACAATAAAACCGGTACCTTGAGCTTACAATTTTAAATATCAAAATAAGCAATGAAACCCGGCAGTATTTCATTCTAATTAGTGGCAGCATATTGCTCAGTTATGAACAAATTTAAATAACTAGAACGCAGTTATACCAACAAATATAGCACTTAAAACTAAAAAGGAATTAAAAATATTACTGCCGCAATAAGTTCAGCTCGCAATCTTTGCTTTTCAAGTGCACATAGATTTGGTATTATTTTATCTAAAGACAAATGATTTTAATCATTGAGTCAACAAATGTGCGTAACATATCTTTATTACTTTACAAAAGCTTAACAAATATTGTTACACATGTTAATACAGTAACCGTAGCTGTGTGGCCAGAAAATTTACGGTTAACTGTTTTGAAATATATTAAAATTTAATTTTGTTGGAAAAATACATATTTTGCTGTTTTCCTAAACAATATACCTTACGGCTAGATAGTGGATGTTTCATCCCCATTGTTTAATAAACAATATCTTACCTGCCAGTTGGCTTCCAATAACTTTTTTAAACAGTACCTAAGCAATTGTAACATGGGGTACGTTTTGTATTACATAATTCTGCTTAAACTTTTATGAGGGTTATTTAGCGTTTGCCAGCTTTTTGCACAATTAATGCTAATTTTCAGATACCACATAAGTAATCAAATAATTTATCGAATGAACAAAAATAGTATTTTACTCGAACGAAGTTGCTTAAATTCTCTGATGTATATAAGCATTCACGAAACAGGTTATTTGCTTACAGCGATAAGACGCCATAAATAAATAAATATTATATATATATATGCGCCTACACGCGCGCTCCTTAGCCAAGTTGTGTAGTGACATTTTCTTTGAGAGACTATTACATTTTTTATAAAAATATACTCCGAGGTCCTTCTCTATGAAATTGCAACAGCTTGTGTTTAAAAGATTGATAACTTATTGTTTTCCTGGTTACTAGTAAAACCGGCTTTCCGTTCATTTTAAACTGGCTTTTGCATTCAAATGACAACTATCTTTGCATCAGCGGTAGTAACTACTTAATGCATTAAACTCCGCCATTTTTACGGAAAGCACATATGCTTTATCAAAAGAGAATATATTGGTTACCTAGCGTACTAAAACCTAAAACAAGTGGTAGCATTAAACTATTAACAACTTTAGCTGTTGATGTTTCCCAGACAAATGTAAGATAGCCATACTTAAGCTATCAGTAAACTTTATCGTAATCTTACTACTGTAACCGTTTTGAATTATTAGCAGCGTAAAGCTAGCTTTCGATAAAATCGGGTTTATTAGACTTTATTAAAAATTAAGTATAACCATTATAAATCCAGCATGGTGAATGTACTTCTTTAACGTCATGCCAACAATTCAGTGCTGAGTTAATCACAACCACGATAAAAGTAGTTAAGCATTTTAATGCTTGAGACCATTTACAGAGTTAATATAACGCAATACTGAAATGGTACGTTAAACGCATTTTACTAAACAATATTATTTGCAAGTATCCTAATTATGGTGTTCTTGGTCGCCCTTTATCAGATTGTGTTTAGCGCCTCGTGCTGGAATAAATGTATATTTTACTAGTTTCGTACAACAGATTTTCCTTGCAAATAAAAGCATATTCTTACAACTTAGGAGCTTAACTTGCACATGTTACACCCTTTTGCGTCTAATTTATTAAGAATATTTAAATAGGCCAAGATAAAACATAGCTATGTCGATCTTCAATGAAGCAACCTATGTACTAAAAATAGTGTTGTGCTTTTCCAGGTTCAAATTTAAGTAGTTTACTTAATAAGTTACTTATGTGTCCCCGCAATTCTTAACAATTTCTCAACTAGTTATCGAGCTGGCAAAGTAAAATTACTGTTTATTTACCGTTGCAGTTCACAAGCAGCCCATGCATTACTTAACGTTATGTTCAAAATTAAAATCTTATAACATATTACCGCTGGCGAGTTAACCAGAAAGCATGGTTAAATATTAGTTTCTATGGTGACTTGAAATAAATGAACGTACGACTAGTGGATTGCTGCTGATGGCTTCAGAATCTTGTTCGATATAAACCATATAGAAATTAATATTTCATAGTACATCAAAAATAATAATTATTTACCTTGTCAAGTATAAACGCAATGCTTACTTACATTGTACCTGTGAAAACCCAAGTAGATGTGCTTAGCATCCTTATTTTATTTCTAAAGTTATGAACATCAAATATTCCTATTGTGTCATCTAATCAACGTGCGTTTATTGGCTTATTATTCTTTGATATTTTTAGCTTGACAGTAAGTTAGCTAAATATTGTACTTGAGTTCCCAGGCACCCTCAGGTGTTACTTGAATGATACTGAGTCCACAGGTTTTTACAATGTAGTGCGCAGCCACTATCGGAGGAGACGTCGCAACAATTCTAAAGGTGCTGGATGTTATAATGATCAGCAGCACGCGCACATGGCCATCAATATTAAATCGGAAATCACCACGGAGGAATTAGGAAACCAGCTGAGACAATTATTTGCTAATACGGCATTTCGATTCAAGGTCACAGCCGGAGGCTGTTTAAAGCCGAAAGTATTCTAGTCTGTTTAGACGTTGTTCTTTCTATTCTGGTAGTCAAGGGCTGAAATCGACTGCCTGACCCGATTTGGTTGCGCAGTCAGAAGGAAACCTTAGTGATTTGTTAGCCACTTAACTACTGAGAACTGGATGGGATTGCACAGTTGCTACTATCTTTATCTCAGCGATGGCGCAACTACCACATCTACAATCTTTGGATATCCAGGAATAGAATGAACAGGCATGAGACCGTCCATCTGCTCACAGTTATGAACTAGACGCAACAAATTCAACGAAAATGTTCAACATTGTATCGGCCAGGATATTTCGAATTCAAAGTTAATTATTTCACGTTGCTCAACGAAATACAAAATATTTTACGATGAACCAGAAACATTTACTAATTATTAAGCACACCGAATGTGCTTTTCTGCACCATACAATCACTACCTATGTCATATTTTTGTAAAAACACTATAAATAAGGACTTATATATCACAACAGCATGGTAACCGTAGTCGCCGACTTCTACAAATTAACCTAAAAATTTGCTACTTTGGTTGTCTGAGCCAAACATTAAGTACTTTGATACGATGTTGCCATCTTGAAATGTAGAGTGATTTGTCAAAATTGAAAAACTGCGCGTGCATGATAACACCTCACACCTTAAAACCGCATTCTGCTGTTAAGTTTGTACATTTGCCACTTTTATAAACTACAGCACTTACCATAAGCAGGCGTATACCTTCATCCTACAGTCAAGTGTGCGGATCATACTACAGAATATGTATGATGCTTTGATATATAGTGCATATTAATTAATAACACTCACCTTCATCGATATCGTCCCGTAAGGCTGCATCTAACAACACATAGTTCTGCTGAAATTTGACCGCGCGTGGTCTGTTAGAGTGTTTTCTCGACTCGCTAGCAGCATCCAAAGACCGCATGCTTCTGTCATACTCTTCCCAATTCTGTAGTTGCTTTAGGCGATTCGCCTTCGCTGCTTCAACTCGCCGTATATCAATTTTCCCAGGAAACGCTTGTGGTTGACGTAGTATTGCATTTACAGCATCCACCATGATGTTACCTGTTTCATGCACGAAACCTAATTTTGGCTTCAAAAAATATATGTTTTATGACCTTGACATTTTAGTTGAGTGATGCAAACGTTGAGTAAAGGAAATTAGCTGAAGCAGCACGGCGTCCCTTTTACCCATTTAGTCACAGCAAATAAAAGACATAAACAACCATATGTTAACCTTTTAGGTGGCTGTCATCATGACCATGGCAATCTGATAGAGTGCCTCAGTTCCTTTCGTGGGCACAACGCCGGTTAGGTCACCAAATCAGTAGCGCTTCACTGATCGCCAGGTTATTCGAGAAACGGTTAAGCAATAACACTTTGAACGCTTTTAATGGGTCTGCGTGATGACCAGTCGTCACAAGATGCTTTGTGATAGACTGCATTTGCCACCAAGGAGAGCAATCGAAATGTAAACATATCGCAAATTGAGTCTTCTGTTTGCGTTGACTAAAGGAAGCAGCACTAACTTACAACCTACCGTTGAAAAACAGTATAAAGCCGCAATTTCTTGAAATAAATACGTTGTTTGCAAGTTTCTGTACAGTCTGTCTGCCGCGGTTTGCCGCGAAGATTCGGCGTTCGTGCAGTCAAAGCAACGTTTCAAAGAAGATACAGGTTGGCAGCTAACAAGCATACTGCCATGGTAACAGAAAGTAGAACACGGTCTTACGCACTTCTAAGGTAGTTCGACTCTCTCTTGTTCCATAAATTTACTGAGGAAACTAATTGATTTCTCACGATCGTAGAGCAAAACCAGATTTCAATATAAGGCGTTACGCTAATACTATGTTCAGTGCGCTTACAGTAGTTTCGTACGATTACCAGGGTTACATCTATCCGGGAAAGTTTTGCAGTTTTCTGTCCTCCTGAATTCTATCCAGCTGATTGTAACAAGTCTAGCCTGATATCTAGCCTTGCTGAATGCTATATGAGCCTCGTCCTATGTCCACACAAGTCACCCGAAACAGATTGCCGTATTTATTAGGTTCAGGAGGCCGGGTTCTTCTGTGTAATGAAACCAAAAAGGTTGACCGAAGATATGGTGTTGGCATACCGTGACTAAATAAGTAATACGGCTCGCGGAGCGGTCATAGCTTAAGTCTGTGTATCCCGTTCAGAAACTCATAGAGGTGAAGACACCGATAAATTTTCCTAAATCACACATCTAAGAACAAGCGCGAGCAAAGCTCACCCTTAGCATGAAATTAGAGTGCTTCAAACAGCGAACGCTGAGTTAAATGAATGAATAATAGATAGTGGTAGGTTTCTGGAATTACTAGCAACTGTGCTCGCAAGGGATCAGATCAATATTTACACAAACCACATGCTCTTTCATGGGGAAGGAGAATAGAAAGAATATGTATTCCTTGTTCAAGATTACGGATCGAAGGCATTTTTGTGTCCAGTTAAATTGGTGGTACGCCCCTGCCGTAAAGTTTCTCTGCCTCCTTCAGGCAAGTTTGTGATCTTTGGTTTTATTAATGGCAATAAGTCGTGCAGAGCCACATTTGTGCGCGTCTTATTTAGATGCAGGATCCAATTGGCCAAGAACTTCCTTTTGAGTTCTTTTGACTTAAATTCATTTGGCTGCTTCATGCCGCCATTGTGCTCCTCTCTTTAATTAGTGTCGAAAGTTTGTGTAGAGCCGTGGTTATAGGTTTTCTCTGGAACCAGGATCCAATTTACTATTAAATTCACCATTAATTCTTTGCACTATTTCGGTACGTTAATTCGTCGCATTTAATTTTGCGCACCTGGAAAGAAATAGGATTGGCGGAATTATAAGGCATCAGAGAAGGTTGGAAAGCAGTTTCTAGGCATGCAAACGAAAATAAAACGCTTTTTTCAGACATACTAAGGCGGCGTACTTAACAAGAGAAATATAACACCGTAAAATCTAAACAACATTTCTTACACATTAAATTCCAAGAAGCACAGTACCCGCGCCTGTGATGTCCTTGACTGAACTCGGCATGCTGTAGCCTACAACCGTGAATGAATGATGTACACAACGCTTCATGAGTCGGCCGCGATCTGCAACTTGGAATCCTAAAAGTGTTGGGTGGCGCCTGGGGTACTGGTCGGCAATCAAGGACGGTATAGGAATTGGAGGCAACTGAAACCGGCGGGTATTGTGCAAGCTACAATAGTAGGAAGTGAATAAACTAGAGCCAGGCCGGGAATAGCATGGAACACACCGGGGCAGTCTGTGCGAAATGTAGTGCCCACAGAAAAATAAGTGGAGCAATTGCAGATCGCAAATTCAACATTAAAACCCATGCTAAAGCGCGTCGAGTGTGTTATCAGGTGCAGCATCATTTAGCCTTCGTGGGGGAGACCCTTGTAGTTCACATGTTAACGGGCTGTTTCAGCATGTTATAGCACTGAACTTTAATGTTTTGTTACCCTATTAAACGTCCATTTCTTTTGCTGACAGCATATCCTTTTACACCACTTGCATCGTTGAGTTCCATGCTATTACGCAACTCGCTGTTTATGCGCTCCTTACTTTTGTAGCCTGCACAATGCACGTTGATTACAGTTGCCTCCAATTTCCATACTGCTTTTTACTTGACACGTCTCTTAGGTGTCATTGAGTACCGCATAGTGTCCCAGTAGCCGCCCAACCATTGGCAACCCAAGTCCAGAACATGCCGCCCACCATTTTGTACTTCCATTCTAGAAAGCTCGTTCCAGTGTGCTTCAGCAATTATGCTCAATTTATCTTCTCACCTACCATAAGTTTATTCGGTTTTTGCACTCAGGTAACTAAAGGATACGCCATCTCCATACGTGCTCTGCGCCATAGCGTTATCATTGCTACCTTTTTGGTTGTATGCCCCGCCGTTACGGTTTTTGCACCTAAAGTCCATATAGTACATCCGTATAATTACCCTGCTTTTGCTATGTATAATCAGCTAATACCACGCTATCCACTGAGTATGCCCTCGCATGTAAGCGACCTTATACTTTGCCCGTATTTGTAGTGAAATACGAAGCTCTTAAACTGTTATTTGTACAGCGAGCCACACCTACTGACAAAAGTAATCAGCAGCGGCTATAAGGCAATCTGCGACTAGTAGGTAGGGTGCCCTTAGCATTGTTGCAAGGAAGGCAACAGCTCACCGGCAAGTCCAACCTGGACGTATGAGTCCTTCGCGAGCTTTGAATGCACCGCCTCCTGGAAAGCGCATAGTTTACCCTTGCAGCAGCAAGTGACTTGCCACTCGCAACAGTGGCAACTCTGGCGGAAGGATTTATCAAACGAAACTAGCCAGTAACTGAACCTAGAGCACTCAGGCAGGTCAGCGATAACGCCACCACAGCGACACCCGCAACTAATCAGCCATCTGCAATAGACGCCTTATCATCGCAGATAGCCTGACGTCAGCGCTAGATCGAGGAGCTCGCTTTAAACAGCACACACCCAACCGCCTTGGATCATCGCCTCATCGTACCAAACCGGCTCCCCAGGTTACTGCTTTGACCACTCGCGCCCCGTTTATAAAGCTCGTAATTGCCTACCGCCATGTAGTTACTTCGTTGCAGATGATCCGCCAAGTTGGCCTGGAATGGCCTCGAATTACATCGGCAAAACTCGAAGCCGTCACATCTACTTTAGGGATTATGGTTTCGAGACCAAGTTCTTCGTTGATACCGAGACGGAAATCAGCGTATTCCACCCTATGACACACTAGCTTATCATTACTTTGTCGACAAGCCTAAGTGCTGCCGGTGGTGGGCCAAATGCTACCGGCGGTCAACGGTCGCTTACCCTGGACCTAGGTCTTCGGCGCATGTTCCGCCGCCTATCCACCGTAGCTGCAGTCTCCTTCGACATAAGCAGCATTAAAGTTCTCAGGTATCACACCTCCTGGTCCACACAAACCGCAAGATATGCGGTGCTGCTTCGAAACTCAGTGTACGTGGTATCTGTGCCGATATCGCATCTCACACGCCAGTCTACACCATTTCCCAGACCACGCAATACTACGCCAACCACTTTCCTCAACAATCCAGGCTCGTTCCTTCAATGAATGTTGCCCTGCCCGTGGCGTCCCAAGTCACACACATATGCGGACGGCTGGTCTACCCGTCGCATGCAAAGCACGTTAACTATCACTTGAGTAACTTATAAACAAATATGTAAGCATTTTCTTCCCGGCAGTGCCAGGTGTACCTGCAACTGCATGAAAATGATAACACAAACAGGTATGGTTGGTAATCGTATAAAATACAGCAAGTTAAAGAGAAAAATGCTGGATTTGAGCCTGTATATAGTAAATAAATAAATAATATATTCTCGAATTTGTCGAGACACACCAAACCAGGCATGATCAACATTTACACGCAATTACATTTCGCGACAAACTTGTTGCTATGTAGGTAATAGGCAGTAAGCCGAAAGTTGTACAGGCTTTGGAAATTGTAAAATTAATCATAAGGAATAAAGTCGTCAATGCATGACGACACGTTGGGTTCTGGCGTGCGTAGTGTAAACAGTCTGGGCATTACATGTGTAGTGAAAACGATACGTATAGGCAGGGAGTATCTTACTCTTGAACGTGTCAGGAAAATATTAAATTATTATTCTAGTCGACTTGCCAGTATGTAGTTGTGGGCAGTGACTTTATTCAGTGGCGTGTCACATCCGCCACGTCCCAGTGTTGTTAGGCGGACATTTTTGGCTTCTTTTAGGAAGAACGCTTGCCAGGCGAAAAATCACCACGTCCTGGAACACTGTCAGAAATCCGTTTGTAAACTAATGTAAAACTGGCAGAGCAGCTTGCCGACTGATTTCACCCTCGGTTATCCCCAGTTAACTGGCTTCCAATTTCCTCTGTTAGTTGATCAGCTATCGTTGGTCAGGGCGGCCATAGTGGCTGAGGCCCATGGAGGGTGACATTCACGAAGAGTTATCTTTGTGAGTGTCCAGGTAAGCAAAACGTCAGTTTCTTGCGTCTGGATATTTCAGGTTTATGTACACTTTTCAGGAGTGTGAAGGCCTCGTGTCCAACTATCGTTACTGGACAACGGTCGTGGTAGGGAGTGCAGTTGTA